TCCGTGTTTCTACAGTTTACGGTGTAAGTATCATTAAAAGTTTTTTGTTAGAACGAATAGAAATGAGCATATGTTAATTTAACAAATAATGTGAAGCATTTAGGGGGGTTTACAAATACACTTTTGCATATAATCGAATTTGTTTCTAGTTAGAGTATAAGTAGAAATGAACAATTACATATTATGTGAATCACTTCTGAAGAACATCCAAGAAAATTAAAATTTTACACACACTATTAAGAGGTAAAAAAAAATTAAAAATTATTGTATGATCATGATGCATGTGTTTTAAATCAATTTTGGAGAGTAGTTAGTTTAACAACTCATGTTTAATTGTGGCTCTAGGTCTTGTCTTGTGGTACCACTACCCCCACCACATTTTAGTGCAATTCTTGGAGTACACAGTCAATCAAGCCATAATTTATTGTAGGTCTAAGTCATTATAGGACATAGCCTGCAACAAAGATCCAACCCTACCATTCTACACCTCTTATATATCCATGACTAAGACAAACCTTATACATATTGCATTTTGTATTTGAGGGTGTAACTTAACGATCAATAACATGAGTAAAAATCATGAAACATCAAGGTACAAACCTCAATAGAGACTATACCCGTTAAGTTTTTTCTTTATATCTATTTAAACCTGGGTGGTTAGAGTTGTTGCTCTAGTTAGAAATATCAAATATCCGATGAAATAGCTTTGGTGCGCGCAAGTTAACCTGTTTTGGTCATTAGTCTATCCCCTAGAAGACAATGTTCCCTCTTAAGAACAGAATGCTATAGACTTTTGGATTCTTAATTTCTCATAAAGTATGCACATGCATCACTTTAAGAACATATAACTAACTCTACTGGACTTTTTGCACCAATTCATAAATCTTGTTTAATATGAGTGGTTGAACTGCACATTTCCTAATAGTTCTTTCTTTGAAAAATTGGATCAAAATTTAAGTTCTTTTTAATTTTTTGGGTCGATATTATTTTGATGCATTGAGTATAATTCTTCAAATAGTTCATCAACTTTTCAGCCAATGTTCATAAATAGTTAGAAATATTTATTTCTAATATAACTATAAATATATACGCCAACAATTTGTAGATTGTGGTCGCCTTGATCATAAATCCAAATAAAGAATGGAGGCACCTATCAATACATTTTGAAATAAATATCAATAAATACAAAGTAGTAAAAAGCAAAAAATGAGCCAGAAGAGGAAAAATATGGAGTGGGATGTGCCATTATTTTCAACCAACTCAAGTGTCAATTACTTCCCCTCCCATCCAAATCTAATAGGAAGTCCCCCTTCTTTTTCTTTTAATTTCCATGTATGTTTTTTTCTCTTCCTGTAAGCTCTTGGAGAAACACATAAGAACCAAGTAAATTATCCGTTGCTAAAAGATGAGATCAAAGACAAACTCTTTTTTTGTTTTCCACCCAGTATTCGGTACCCACATAGGGGCCCGACTAAATCTAGATTCGCGCTGGAAAGCCCCACATTGGGGGCAAAGTGTTCCCTAACAAAAGCGACTCCACACCCAGGGGCTCGAACCGAGACCTTTGGTTAAGGATGAAGGAGTACTTACCACTCCACCACAACCCACGTTGGTAAAGACTAAAACCCTTTTCGCATGAGGAAAAAAAAAGAACTTTGTAATTGCTAATTAAAAAGTTGAACAATTCTATTTTAACCGACCTTATTATTTAGTCTCTCCTCCTAAATTTGGGATTGCTCTCTTAGTTGTTTGTTCAGATTTTCTTACCATAATTGGTTTTCCTATTTCATGAAGGAAAGGACAACATATTTATCAGAAAATATAATTCTTCCATATTTGGCTAGTCCCTTTCTTGTACGAAACGGTTTGGAGTTCTATAAATTAAAGATCAGTCCTTTTCATTCAGTAGCATCCACAATGTACCCACATGGGGTTTGAGAGTCGTGTTTAGGGGGAGAACTTTACGGGACAAGTGTTAGTGTGTCACTTGTGTTTGCCTCTTCGTGAGGTTGTTCTCTCGATATTTTGTACTCTCCTTTATTATAGTGGATTGCTCATCTCTGCCGTGGACGTAGGTCAGTTGACCGTACCACGTTAAATGTTTGTGTCTCTTTTGTTGTTGGACTTATCGTTGTTCAAGGTTTGCTTTGCTAGATTCTGCATGATACCTGATTTTTTCGGTCCTAACATACTCTCAGTGCAATTAAGTAGCCCGTCCTCTTCAAATTATTGACTTTAACTCTTCCAATTTTTCTTCCTTTATTACTTGTGTTTCAAGGACGAATTATTTTTTTTAGGTAGGGGCCGTTGGAGCTTAAACTTGCAATACCAATTAATAGAGGGGGAAATCATTATTTGTATTCGATACATGCATCGAGATATTGGAGAAATTTATTAAGATTTTTATATAGCATCGTGGGTAAATAAACACGCTAAACAACTGTAATTAAGTGGCAAAAGCGTAAGTAAAAAACGAATGCCACATTTCATATTTGTTCGTTTGGTGCATACATTTAGTGCGTATACATTTTTGTCAATACTAGACTGTCCCTGTAAAAGCACAAAACTAAAAAGCAATGGGAAAAGCTTAAGTAATATGATGAATATCTGGTGTTTAACTTGACAAATAAATGAAAGATACATATTTTTGCACATATACTTTTATCACTTAAGTATGATGAAGTGATATGTATCTTCACTTGGATCTACCTAATTAATATACACTGTCATATAAACCTAAATAGTAATTCGCTTAATTACTTAAACAAATAATAGCCGGAGAACATATACTATATGTATAATTTATGTATATAATAATATATAATCAGTGTAATCTATGTATACCAATTAGAAAAAGTAAACAATAAAATTAGCCGGCTATTTGTGTAAAGGTCCCAATTATTTTTTATACTATTCGAGTAATTTAACATGTTATAGTAGGTTGTCTGTTTTATTTTCTGATTAACTAGTTTTACTTACTATGAATAATTTTACTTGTAATTATTTCTTTAGGTGATTTCATAATATAAAATAAAATAAAATGTCAGTATTTCAATTAAGGTTCAACACTAAAAGTTAAATGGTTTGATAATGTGAATGAGTGTAGATAAGTATTTTCCATAGCTAAGCGTGCACAAACGGGATTGAGTAGTAGGAAAATTGAAGCATAAGAAGTAAAAGGCGTAACCCTATTGACATTAGTCTATTAAACAATACTCTCTCTTTTCCGTTTATGTGAACCTATTACCTTTTTGGTCTGTTCCAAAAATAATGATCTCTTTCTAAATTTGGTAACAATTTAGCTTAAACTTATAATTCTACCCATAATGAAAAACTTTTATAATCACACAAATACTCTAGCCCCTTTTTGATTTGTTTAGGATCACAAATTCCAAAAGTCTTCATTTTTTTCTTAAATTTCTTCCCCAGTCAAACAAGTTCACATAAATTAGACGGAGAGAATATATGAAAGATTTAGGCACATGGGTATGAATCCCATAACTTTCAATGTCCCCCACCCATTGCCACTCTTTCCTTTCACAGCCACTCCCTCACTCCATAATCCCCGCTTCTTTTCCTTCAGTATTCCGAAACCTCAAACACAAGATAATGAGTAATTATTTTATTTATCCAAATGTAACTCGAACTTTTAACTTAAAAATTACAAGTAGAGGAGTCTAATTATAGTCAGACCTCTTTATAACAGTATCCCTGTATAACAACCATTAACTATAAAAGCTAAATTTTCTCATAACGAATCTTTTATGTTATGTTATAATATATGTCTTTTATAACAGCATTTTACTATAAACATCCAAAAAAAGAAATATCGGAACAAACATGATTGTTATAGAAATGTTTGATTGTACTTGTCAGCTGGTTTGTTATTTTTGTCTGTAGTATGAGATCCAGTAGGCAGTAGTTGAAGTTTCTAGTCAGAGTAAGTGAGTTTCGAATTTCACATTGTCATAAGAAAAAACTTGAGTTTTTAGATGAATTTTGAAAGCTTTGTTAGTTATGTTTACCTTAATTTAAGAACAACTTGCTTTCCTACCTTACACGGTGATACGAGCTCACTAGGGTAAAGAAAAGCCCATCTTAACCATTGAATAGAGTAAATTTAACACTTCACCTAACAAAACAAAAATACTAGTAAATTGTCCAAAAAAAAAAAAAAAAATACTCTTATTAGTCATCAAATTTATGTTACATTGGGTTGTCAATCGATTTATTGTAGTGGGAATTTTGACCTTGGATTACTTACTTGGAACCTACTACCTCGGGATCCTTTACCATATGTATCAAAAGTTGCGTAAACCCTAAAAGCTTAAAGTTATATTCTTTAGAATCATTACTGATTTTGTTGTGTTCTTGAAAAGTTAATTCATTTAAAATTATGAAAAGAAAAGGAAAACTGCGAGCTTTCAGCTAAAGCACAAGGATTACGCTTTGAGCCGCATGACTGAATCTTAAGGATAAAGTTAAATGCATATAATTGTAGTTTTCTGCAAGTGCATATATAATAAACGTACGGCTCCAGTGGAAATTACAAAAAACTAAAGAAAAACAAAATGATAAAGAGGAAATCAGTATTTAGAAATATATTATAAATGATTATCTGCCTTATTTTCAATTATCAATTCACTTACTATAAATAGTTACTCATATTTTGTATATAATATAATATTATAATTCTTTTACTGTATCAGAAACTAAACTTTAAACAAATTAGAAACATCCATTGAACAAATGAACCCTTTTGTTAAAGTGCTATAATTACGGAAGGGACCACTTTCTTCCTCCATTTTTCCTGTCCCCATTTGCACCTAATAAGCATGAAAATTGGAGGGAGAGATAATCACTCCCCACACAAAAATAAAAAATAAAGAAAAAAGGAAAAGTAAATGTTTAAAAATTTGAACAAATAAGAAATTCAAAAAAAAAAAAAAAAATGTACACACAGAAAAGAGAGATAAAGGGTCTCTATATAAAGACAGTCCATTGCAAGTTCACAGCCATAGAGGAATTACACAACACAATTTCACATCTTTCTGTTATTCTTTTTTTCCTATCCAAAATGGCACCCATTGCCAAACATTTCTCCCTTATCTTCCTCCTTACTCTCTTGTCTTCACTCCAAATTCATGCAAGGGACGGTCAATTCTTCAACAAAATTCCCAGCAACAATGGTGAGAAAGAGACACAAACAGTTATTCCTAACAAAGAACAAGAACCTAATTTCATGCCTGAGAATGAAAATGGAGCCTATGGTCTATATGGTCATGACTCTGTCACCACTCCTAATACTAACAATCCCTCTGTCCAAAATCTTCCCAACAGTAAATACCTTCCCAAGAATTACAATCCTGTTTCTTATGTGACTGTCCCTGAGGACAACACTAATGAAAATGATTTGAACAACAATGAGTTCACAACCAAGCACACTACCACCACCACTGCCTCTAATAACAACCAATTCTACAGTGGTCCCACCACTTACGGCAACAACAACAACAACAACCAACAACAGTACTATAATGGCGTTAGCGATTATAGTACTAAGCGCAACAACCAGCAGCAGCAGCAACAGTTCTACAGTGGCGACAACTTTTACAGTAACAACCAGCAGCAGCAGCAGCAACAGTTCTACAGTGGCGACAACTTTTACAGCAACAACCAGCAGCAGCAGTACTACAATGGTGGCAACACTTACAACAATAACAACGACAACAACAACAACAATGAAGAGGAGGAGGAGTACTACAATAACAATGGTGGTAACACTTACTACAACAACAACAACGAGCAACAGGAGTTGAGTGAAACAAGATTAAGTGCCAGAACTTACAGCACCAACCCAACAAATTACGGAAACAATTACAACAACAACAATCAAGAACAGAGCTACTCCACCAACTACAATAACTACAACACTGGCAAAAGTAATTACAGGGTGCACCAGCAGCAGGGGATGAGTGACACTAGGTTCTTGGGAAATGGGAAATTCTACTATGATATCAACGCTGAGAAACATGCTAGGGATCCATATGAAAATGCAAGAGAATTTGCTGCAATGAACCAACAGTACAACAACAGGAACACCTATGGAAACAATGAATACAACACCAACAACAACAGTTTTGAGAATGAAGAGGAGTTCCAAGTTGAAGAGAACATGCCTTGAGCTTTTGTTCAACACTTTGATGAAAACAAAAAAAAGTAAACATAGTGAGCCAAAAGGAATGTTATGTGTCCCACAAATATCATTGATGTTGTTTTCCTTTTTTATCTAAGTTATATTTTATTAGCAAAATGTTAATTAAACTACAGAGTTATTTTTGGGTGTTTAATGGCTATGATTATAAGAACTTGTATTTTTAATGTGGTGAAATCGACAGTGAAAAAAATTGGAGTGATCAAATATCATTGTGTCAACTAGCTTATGCCAGTAAGCAATCTAATGTCAATTAGGGTATTTTACTAGTCTGCAGTAAAAACTGCACCTATAATTATGTCGCCTATATAATATTGACCGAATTAGTATAATTCTGCTAGTCTACTAGTGAGAGTGAAGATGCTCTGTTTGTTTAACTTTTCTAAATTTCATTTCTGACGACTATATTATCATGCCAAGTTGTGTGAAGTATACTTAATTATGATTAATAATACAACTTTATCAGAGATATGAAATACCTACCAACACTGAAATATTTATTTGTATAGGGACGGTACACTCTGCCCTCTAGGTTCTGAAGACTGTTCGTTGGGACCTAAAATCTCACCATCTTGTGTTGGGTTTTAGAGGGAAGAGGTCCTTAGCTAGTTATGACTTTTCATTTTCCTTTTCTCTCCACCACACCCCCCCCCCCGTTTTTTTTA